AACAGTGGTTTAAGACTGTCCGTGAAGTTATCCAGGAGCATGGCATATATAAAGATGATATCTAGAACTTTAATGAGACTGGCTTTGCAATGGGGCTCAGTACTACTTTAAAGGTTATTACATCAGTGGAACGCAGTGAGAGACCTCGCAGAGTTATCCAGGGAAACCGTGAATGGGTTATAATCATTGAATGTGTAGGCTTAAAAGGGATCTCTATCCCACCAGCAGTTATCCTAAAAGGGAAGGAACACCTAGCTGCTTGGTATTAAGAACTTAATCTTCCTCCAGACTGGAGGCTTACCAATAGCACCAATGGCTGGATAACAGATGAGATTGGCCTTAAGTGGCTGAAGCACATATTCGACCCCTTTTCAAGACGATATTCAATTGGTGCAAAAAGGCTACTTATTCTGGATGGCCATTCAAGCCATCTATCTGCTGAATTTGATGATTTTTGCAAAGGGAATGCAATTATCTGTCTCTGTATGCCTGCGCATACATCTCATCTTCTCCAACCCCTAGATGTTGGGGTTTTTGGGCCTCTTAAGCGCGCATATAGGAAACTAGTTGAGGAGATGATGATGGCTGGAAACAACCATATTGATAAAGAGGATTTCTTATATCTATACCCTCCTGCATGTGAAGCAGTCTTTACTCAACAGAATATATGCAATGGCTTCGCAGGAGCTGGTCTTAATCCACTTGATATAGACTGGGTCCTTGCTAAGAAATATCTTCTGCTTTTCAGACACCCTAGAATGCTCGCCAGCTTGATAAAAAGGTCCGCAGTCTACAGAAAAGTCTTCAGAAGAAAAGGACACTTTCTAGCAGTCTAATATCATATATTCAGCATCTTGAAAAGGCTGCGCAGATGGCAATGAATGCAAACCTTCTTCTACAACAAGAAATCAAGGTTCTACGGGCTGAGAATGAGCGGAAAATGAAGAAGAAGGCAAGGAAGCGTATTAATCTAGGGAATAACCTCTTTATATCTGTGCAGGAAGGTCGTGACCGTATTCAGCAGGTTGATGAGCAGGTTGATGAGCAGGTTGATGAGCAGGTTGATGAGCAGGTTGATGAGCAGGTTGATGAGCAGGTTGATGAGCCTATACCTATATCTCGTCAGCGCGCTCCGCCAACCTGTAGTGGATGTTGGACTATTGGACATACTAGAAGAAGTTGCCCTAATAAATAGCCATATATTCAGCTAGTAGATAGTCTAATTAATGACGTTGGTGGTTGAAAAGCTTCAAAGATAGGATGATTTGCGGCAAAAATTCGCGGTTCGGTCGTATTCGCGGCTCGGCCGTGGGTTACGTTACAGAATCTGAATCTTATCTAGAGGAGTAACCAGAAAGCCTAGATTATAGTATTAATCTTTACAGAGTTTCTTTATTAGTTTAATAAGTAGATAAGTAGACAGAATGTTATCCTTCTTATGGATAACTTCTCTGCGCATCAAGCTGCTGTAACAGAGATTTAATCTAGTGGCTATCTACTATAGAATACTCTTATTATATAGCTTCCTGTGAACTCTACAAGCCGATATCAGCCTCTTAATCAAGGGATTATCCACTGTTGGAAGTTATACTAGAAATGATACTGGATTTGCTTTATCCTTTAAGAGTTTAAGCTTAATCATGATCTAATTACCTCAATGAACGTTCTAAGAGTGGTTTGATGGGGAATCTAGAGCTGGGAATTTAATCTTTCTGGATAGGTAATCTAGAATTACTTTTGAAAAGCTCTAGATTCTTAATTATCATATTAAGAGCCTGTTGATCCAGTAGTTCTGGATGATATATAGAAAGCATTCTCTCTCCTTAAGGTATCTACGCCTATCCAGGATCTAATGGATATTGAAACCTTTCTTAATCCAGCAGAGGAAGCCGTCCAGGATACTCCTGATGATATTAATATCCAGGTTCTAGCTTAGTACAGGCTAGAGCTAGATGATGATTCTGAGGAGGAGCTTGAGGTTCTACCATAAATATCACTGGATGAGGCTTTAGAAGCACTAAGAACACTTTGTTTATATGAAGAGCAGCAGGCAGATGGTATCCCTAGCCTTATATATGAGCTAGATAAGCATGAGCGTATCCTTTGGGGTCGAAAGCTAAGCCTACAGACGCAGCAGGACATTCGAAGCTATTTTACAGGCTAAATATATATATCCTTGATATAACGAGAACCTCGATATAACGAGAAATATGGTCTGTCTGGAATATCTCGCTATAACGAGGTTTTACTGTAGTCACTTGCCAGTTTGGCTAATGTTGCATTCTTCGGCAATAATACCATGCTTTTGAGAATTATTGAGTGAAAACAAGGAATCTCAGCGGGCTCTGATCCACATCACATCCGTCGTTCACTTGTTCTGCTAATTCGCTGTGAATTTTCATTTGTCAAGTTTAAGTTCTCGCTCCAGAGTTTTATGGGCATGTGCCAAGTCCTTCTTCAGCTGAAGCTGTCATATGTACAGAATTGGGCGACTTTGTCATTTTCATTGGGCCAATTGGTATCATTGCTTGTGGGCCTTTCATCATCCCTCGCAGCGAAAGAAAATGTGAAGGACTGACCTTTACCATCCGGCCTGAACCACTTTCTTTCCACTTTCGATGGTTTCCAATATCCTTTTTCTGCTAGTAGAAGTGTTCTGATAGCCGCTGACCTGAAGGCTTCGAATTATCGATCTACTGTGATCTGCATCCTGTTCGCTATTGTGTTGTGTGATAGATCGAGTGGCGTTTTACTGCCTATCGTGCTTCGGGTGACATCCAGTCGCCTCAGACTTCCTATCACGTTCAGATTTAGTTTTGATGGGCACATATTGTTGCAACCCCTGCCAGGCACTGTCCTATCGGAGAATGCAATAACATGCTGGAGTACTCCATATAGCTGCATCAATTGGACTGTGCACAGTCCAGAGGACGCAAGAACCTGCCTTTGAGGGTGCCTTAACCAACACATATACGAAGTGGAGGTCACTGGTTACACCCTCCCCTCCCGGGCGTGGATACTCTTTTGCGCGATACTAGCACAACGTACGGATCCCTTCGGCGAGCGCGAGCCTTTTGGCTAAGCTCTTGATGTTAAACCATATTCATGCCCTCATAATTGTTCCATGCCTGACACACTCTCTCCGGAGCTGCTCTGTCTCCACAGCAGTGAAATGCTCGGGATGCGGCCAATATGCATTGCCATCTTGCAGAACCTCGGTGGGTTTAGTGAAGTAACGGTCAATTGGGGCCTTACAGTGGTTTCGTTTCCCATGATTGATGCTCAGCGATAATGTAGGACAGATACGCGAACTGAACACAAATATCCAATCACAACGGTGCATGAAAGGTCAAGAAAGTCCCACCCAGGGCTGTTACATCATCTGACAAATTGAAGGAAGAAATCTATTATATTAACTATAGCTCCAGCTCTTAAGAGCTCTTTCCCTGCGGTATGGGATGTATGCCTTGCTTAAGGGAGTATAGGTTAGTATAGTTACCTTTATGTCAGGTGAGTAAGGAAGGTTAATAGCTATAATATATAGAAGGGTGTGCTTGGGTAGAGATAGTAGGAGAGGTGATATCTATATAATCTTAAAGAGAAATAGAGTACTCTTTTAGCTATAGGAAATAAATATAGCACATCTTATATAAAAGCTATAAGACCAGGGTTAGCTTATAGAATTATTAGGTTTAGGCTGACCAACAGCATCTATACAACTAAGTTATTTGTAGGCAGGATTCCTATGAAAATGTTCATAATAGACTATATAATAGTTGACATTGCACGGCATGAGATACATACTTTAGTTAACTGCGTGCAGTAGCCTAGCTCTAGGTTAGCTATTAAGAAATGCCTGCTAAAGGTTTTAAATTGGCTCCAAATAGTTAAATGAATCTAGATAGGGTGGGATGAGGTTGTAAAGATTTCTATTGATTATTGCAATAGTGAGGTAAAGACTTCAGCAATTCCACTATAAGAAACATTGTTGTCATTGGATTGGATGACTTCAACATATGGCGTCATGCTGAGCCCACCTGGAGAGGCAATTGCCGTGGCAGTGCTGGGAAAGCCTACCAGCACCGCGGCTGCCTGCGATTGACAGCCTGGATTGCATTGACCCCGATGTTTACAAAGCTGATATTCAAGTAGTTCTGGCAGAACCTAATGGGCCCATCGTCCGCCGACTGCTCAGGAATGCGTGTAGCCGGACGATTCCTGTTCGGGATGCCTTTGTGCGAGCGCAGTAACTAACATTCATAATCACTACCTCCCGAGATCGTTCATTCCGGCAGCCAGGGGAAGCAACGCTGCATATAGTCATTATATATCTGCAAGGCTCATGGAGTGGCATACAGCATGCTATTTTAAATGAGGGGATAGAATGGCTAATTAGCAGGTGCAATACCGCCGCCCCTATTCACATCTTTAATCCCTTTTTCACCAGCACTCTGGCCTATGTGCCTGTAGACAAGTGTGCTAGCAGCGCTTACACAGCTTTCTATAACATCCAAGGCCATTGTATTGCCCGGCTCGCACCAGATCATTCCTAGACTAAAACTGTGTACACTCCGTGGACAGTAGTCTAGTGGCATGAAGGCAATACCTTGCCCGTAACCAACCTAAGGGATAACTTAGATGTAGGACACTATTTCTCTAGTATTACTGCATCTTGTTATCTACCCATATAGCTGGAATAACAGGGCTAAGGTATATACCAGTCAAATGCCAGTCACAACCTATCTTAGCTGTCATCCAGCAGCGCCACGCGTCCATTCTATCCATAAAGCTAGGAATGGACAGACCTTCACCCTATCATTTTAATATGATGCGGCTGGCAATCAGACTCACTCCTGGGATAATCTCAACCAGTTGACGGAAACGGCACTGTATGACAAACTGTGGCTGGCGCGCCAATTGCACTGTGGAATTCTCGTGGCGTTTGCTACCATTACACCAACGATGCCCTTCGTCGAGAGACTGGGTGCTGGCTGCTGGTGATGCCGGCCTCACTGACAGGGCAGAAGGCAGAGGCAAAGCTTGTCATCCAGACTCTGTTCGGCGAGTCCTGTGACTCGTATGCCGAAGCCGTCACCGCTAACTTCCGTGGTCGGGTCTGGAAGATCCGTGATCAGTCAGGAGAGCACACGCAGCTGGCATATGATGTACGCGGCCGTTGTATCCGTTCTAAGTTCCAGGTAGCGGTCGAGTACAAGGCCGTCCTGGATTGGAACAAGAAGGAGAATACGGAACTTGACTCTCGCAGTTTCGAGACCCGTGCAGAGTTTGACAACTTTGGCTCTCCAGTATGGGATGTTGATGTTCAGAGGAACGAGACGCGGCGAGTGTTCTCACGCCGTGGACACGCATCGAAAGTGGAGGTCCGGCATGTCAGTAAGCCGGACGAGTGGCAGACATATCTCGTTGACACGACCTTTGAAGCTGATGGATTGCCGTTATCCGTTACATATGGCAATGGCACACGCACGACGTTTACCTATCAACCTCGGTCCCGTCATCTCCTCACCCAGCGAACCGTGTCTCTGAAGCCTGGTAACGGTACAAAGGGTGAAGAAGTCAAGGAACATCTTTCCTTTACCTACGACATAGTCGGTCGTCGCGTGTCCAGGAGCAACAAGGCCGACAAGCTTGTCTTTGTCGGCGGTACGCGCATCAGTGCGGACTTTACCTACAGCTACGATGTCATCGGACAGCTGGTCAGCGCAACGGGGCGAGGGCAACTCCCGGCTGGGGTCACACGGCTGCAACCATATAGTGCCATGAGTGGAAACACGGACAGAGTAGGACCTGCTGAGGGGGACAGAATGTTCAATTACAGGGAGTCCTACACGCACGATCTAGCGGGCAACATGACGCGTAATAGATTTGCAGCCGCAAATCCGAGCGCTGGGGTAAAGAAGAGCTTTACCTATTGCCAGCAAGAGCAAACAAGGCAATCTTCAAGGTAATAAGGGTACGGAGCGTGTGCAGCTCACAAATGTGCCTGCGCTCCGCAAGAACGCCATCGAAGCCTTCGGAAAACGCGAGCACGACTCCAAATCCTACATGGAAACGATATGGGATAGTCCCCCGCAGGTTACTCGGGGCATGACACATGATGCAACGAAGGCCGCGATGAGGATGCAGAATGACTGGCAGGTGGCCCAAATGAGTCGCACAGACCTCAACCGCGCATTCGGGATCATGGAAAAGAAGTTGAAAACCGTGGGCGATTCACTGTGGGACAGTCGGACAACGGATCCAAAGAAATTGCCCGCGATGACCTTTCGGGAGACGATCAGGCGGCCGCTCGATGTGCTTAAGGAGGAGACTTCATATGTTGGGATCAGCAGCGATAAGTTCATCAGCGATCAGAAGCGGTACCAGGCGGTTGAAAAGGCCGTCTCGGGCCTGGTTAGCTTTGCCAATGAGAAGCTTGGTCCGGATGGACCCACGGCCCAACAGGCAAAGGCTCTTCAAACCGTCATGAATCAGCGAGATGGTCTGGCAAGACTCTGGGAAAGATCCATCCTGGACCAAGAAGTTGTGCGGGATAACTCCCACAGCTACCAGGTGCATACGCTGACCAAGAATCCACAATGTCCTCGGGGATGGCACCCAACCCTTCCAACAAGAGGTAGTATTGCACTTCGGACAGTGGTGTTCTATAGATTCGAGGAAGCCTGAGGGGTTTGAAGCTGCTTGCAATAACATCACCTGTCAAATACAAACATCTATGATCATTGCTGCAATGGGAAAGGGGGAGTTTACTTTGTATTCAAGATTTGAGAACTCGGTCCAGAAACAAACTATGTGTATGCAGCCCACCTGCGTGCCATATAATCATACTGCTACCTGGGACCATGGATAGTAGGTGGGTTATCTCATAATAGATGCAGTGACTTTTGAATCCAGGTTCTCTCCTCCACTCCACTACGAATTGCCCCAGAAATTCCACTTTGGCTTTTGACCATATGCTGGTGAAAATGCATTCATGACGACCAACTTAAGCCATGCGACCGAGAATGATTTGTGCCTGTCTTGTGGGGCCTCGCTTTTGAGGAATAAGCACCACTCCAGACCAGATCATCTTGTTGTTGAATGCCCCAAGATTTCCGACGGTACAAGCACATCAAACTAGGAGTGTCAGATATCTATAACATCACCCTCAAGGTAAAATACGCCTTAGGCACCTCTTCTTCTGTCATATACTTGTATCATTCAGCAGGGGCTAATAAGCACATGTCAGCTCAGCCATGTGAAAGGTCATTCCCCAGTATCTATTCTTTTCAGCTCAGTCTGGAACGGTCTGGCTCTGCGCCATGACGCCGGGATAGACTGGTGGTGGATTGGGTTTGGATGGATCCGCAAGGGGTTCAATCCAACCCATGCAGATTATGGGTTAATCCACTAGCTATCTAACCCACCCTCATCTGCGTTGGATTATGGATAATGGATATATCCATACTATCTAGTCAGGTGACCTCTAGTATTCAGATTACTACCTATTTTTCTAGTATTCTAGCTACACCACTAAGATATCTATATATCTTATTTAATAATTTAATAATTTACTATGTAGATATCATATATTACCTATTATATAAGATAAAATAGCCTTATATAGGGGAGTAGTGGTACTCCTCAAACTTACGATGGAAAGTACTGCAGATATATAAATTCTTACCACAACTATCCTAACTATTATTATCTAAAATCTAAATCCACTATAACTCTAATTTTTCTTACTAAATCTAATATTTTATCTTATATGTAGATAGATATGACTATTCCCTGTCTATAGATTTAAAAATATATCCTCATCTAGGCCTAGATGTGGTTAAACAAGCTTATCAGTCCCCTAAGGCACTAGATCACGTGCACATCATGTATACCTAATGGGTTATCCATAACTATCTATACGGATCAGATGTCATCCATCCATATCCATGCGGATTAGATCAGGGTCAACCCCTGTCCAGCCCAAAGTGCGGATTGGGCGGGTTGGAAATGGATTGCGGATTGGGTCAGCCAATCGGGATAAGAATCAGAGCAACACCGCTTAGTCAGCCTTCCCTTTGTTCCGCTTGACTACCCAAACAAAGGACAAGCTACGCTTGAGTTTAAGGTCTAAGATCATCTTAGTGGCACTTTAAAAAGCACCTGGGCCAGTGCTTTCTAGGCTTCTTTCTAGCAAGCTCTTTAGTAAAATTCTGCAGCATTTCATGCGAGGTAAAGAGGCCTTTCTTAGTGAGTTTATTAATATACTTTATGAGTTCCTTATCTTTCTTGTTAGTTAGAATTCACTGCTCCTCATACTAATGGTCCCTTAAGCATTAAACCCCTCAGTGACGCCTCAAGAGTATTAACCGGCTAACGCCATAATGTACTTGTTTGCAAAGAAAGTATAATTAATTAATTTGCATAGTTCCAGTGAGTTCATTGCTTCTGAAGCCGCTTCAATTAGAGTTATATTAGTGGAGTTATGAGCAGTTGAAGTTCGATCATTTTGAAAGTCGGTTGGGGGAATCGGGCGTCAGGTGATCACCTACTGTAATTTCCGAAGAAAGCATAATAGATTAGGGTTAAACACACTAACCAAGGGACCAAGATCCGGTAATAAGACCCTTACCAAATTGAAGTTGCAATAATAAAAATTTATCCATTGTTAGGGAACAAGTAGGCTTCTGTTATATTGAAAGCAGTACATTAGGTGCATGCTGCATGCTTACTTCCTATAAGATTGCCTGTTGGCACGAAAAGATCGATCAACCGTCCTCATTCAACATTTGTTTGTTTCTCTGACAGACACTTGAGCACTTTTCCCTGTTTGGTTCGGAATCATCCCTAGGCTTCGATCTAGATTAATTAGGCTCACAATGTGGTCGAACAGGAAATATTTAAGGGATGTGGCTGTTTCAAGCAAGCGGGGCTTGAGACCTGATCGAATCTAGATGTTTACTGCAGCAAGCCCGAAATACGAGCGAGCGGATAAACACATACACGTCCAATCAACCATCAACGAAGATCCAGTGCTCGTCCATGTCCTGGTTTTGATGGATGCTAGAGCTACTAACATGCACCCACCGTGTTTGATTGGTCGTGCGACCTGGCAGCGAATCCTCAAGCTCTTAAGATGTACCTCTGGGCTGGAAATGCCAAGCCATGATTGCAGAGATATACTTTGGATTGCTGGCTGATATTGAAATCTTTGAGCGGCCTCCTTGCCTCCTTTTTCTTACTCTTCTTCCTTTGCCAAACAGATTGGGCATTTTTGTCATAACTCTGTTACTATCCAGCTCTGGTGTATAAATCTGAACGGTCCCTTCTTAGTTGTCTCTTTCACCTGCTATTCACCCCTCTACCTGTCTCTACAATCACCTGTGCGAAATATGTACTTGAAAACCGCTATTGCATGCCTGACCGGTCTAAGTACCGTGGTCAATGCTGATGTTAATGGAAAATTCAAGACTGGGAGATGCCCAGTTGGTTATGCCCAGATTACGTACCTTGTTACTGTGACAGAAAGCTCAACCTCGACTGTCAGTCCCTTTACGGCTGGACTGTCTACAGCCATCAGTCAGTCGACTATTTCTACTTGGGATGGTTCCTCGACAATCTCTTCGTCTCCGTCCATTTCTGAGGCAACGAAGACGGACTCTACTGGGGAGACCTCGGCCACTTCGCCATCTACCCCTGCAGAGAAGTCACTGAGTACGCCCACTACTATTTCCGATGCCATTGTCAATCCAACGGTCTCTATGGTTGAAGCGACTCCAACATCAGCGTCGTCTATTGAAAGTTCACAGACTTCTGTGGTTGACGTGTCTCAAAAATCGGCATCGTCTTCGCAAAGTTCAGAAACGCCTCTAGTCGGTGGCATCGTCAGCGGACAGGCTACTTCCTATGATGGTGGCGACGTGGATGGAACATGTATGTTTTCGACCGCCGACTACACCTTGCCAGCTGGGATATATGGTGCGGCTCTTTCCGTGGACAATTGGGACAGTGCAGCTTGGTGCGGTGCATGCCTCTCTGTTGTTGGACCAAGGGGTAACTCCATCAAAATCATGGTTAGTAGAGAAGTGTTTCTGTTCAGTTGATGTCTATTATCAGTTTGATTCTGACTGTTAGTCCCCAGATTGTCAACCAATGCCCCGGAACTTGTGGTTTGAACAATATTGATTTGCTCCCCAACGGCTTCCAACAATTGGCAGATCTCAAAGTCGGCCGAATTGACGTGAAGTGGGACATCGTGAAGTGCGACATCAGCAGTCCGCTATTCCTGAAAACAAAGACTGGGTCCTCGAAATACTGGTTTAGTATTCAAGTCGTCAACTCAAATGTCCCCGTTAAATCGCTAGAGGTTAGTACAGATGGTGGACAGACGTGGCAGTCTACGATCCGTAAAGACTACAACTTCTTCGAAAATCCTAACGGCTTCGGGACGGATTTTGTTGATGTCCGCATAACCAGTGTAATGGGTGAGACGATTATGGTGAACAATGTCAGCAGCGTGTCAGAGACCCGAACAGATGCTACCTCGAACTTTAATTGAATAGTAAGAGGTATATACGGCGCTCCTCCTCCTCTTCTTTTTTCTTTTTCTATTTTTTCCCCACTTTTCCCCCTTTCTCTGATGGGACGGTATTTTGGGTAGCAGGGTACATGGATCATAACTCGTTCCTCTGCCTGGTCTATTCTCTGCCCTCTTGTATAGGGTGTGGGGAATACACAAATGTACTCTTGTTGTTAGCATAGAGGACGCAGCGTTTCCCCGACCCCTTTTCTATGACTTCTCTTGATTCTCTTCTCTTTTACAAAGCTTCTTCATCTGTATTCTAGAGTGATCTGGGATGGGGGATTAATAAAATAAACTTTGAACTTTTCATGGAATGGTGACTCTACCTCAGCTCGTTTGCGAGCAATTAGCTCCGAGCCTACACTGCAACGCGGGCCAGAGGAGGTTAAGGCAATTTGCTTGACCAAGAAGAGACTTGGCTAAATTGAAGTCCAAGTTTGATCGCTGTCTGGCAAGCATACCGATGCAAAACTGACATTGTTGGTGGTGCCAAATGGGCAAACTGAATTCCCGGCTCTGTCTAGCGGCGGAGAGGATAGTCAACGAAGAGATCATTATTTGAAGACAGAAAGATTAAAACTGGATACACCCCGGACGCTCGGAGTTCTGCTTCTTGGACGTCCTGCTTCAGCTGATGCAAGTTTGGCAAGGTTGACAATATGGGATTCTCGCTGTTGAATCCGGCAATTCACAGAATACACCCATAGACGTATAATTCAGCCTCAAGGGACCTTTTAGGGTTCAGCCTGATCTAAAGGTTAAATTCATGAGGCCCTAAGGTACCTAGAACTACTGGGATCCCCACCGGACCATCTTTACCAACGAGGAAATTTTCCTCTAAGCTGTCGGAAGGCGGCATACACGTCAACATCACAAACAGGTTTGGTATTGGGCTAGGCGATTGGGCTTTGATGATCATCCTCATGGCTCGTACAGATTTAGTCTAATGCCTACACGTCTTTTCCCCGTTTAATTAAACGAGCACCCAGGGATTGCTGAAGAGAATGCAGGGAATGTCCTGCTTCTTGGTGGCAATCATCACAAACCCAGCGGTAATTAGCAGCATGGGTAGACATGTAACCCCCATCTCTTGCTCCAGTGCACTCATTACAACTATTAGTAAACAAATCCTAGATTATCCAGCCATGTATAAAGAGCCAACTTCCAATTTAGAATTAAGAAACTTTTGAAATCCGGTGAATTAACCTCAACACCTAAAAGTTTTAGCTACCAGGTTACAGGTATGGACGAGGATTCTCTTGTGTCCAATAATCAGATTCAATAACATGAAGTAGGAATGAAAGAAGATTGAACGCAGCTGTCTGCAAGCCCCAACCCCACATACCAATTAATGAACGCCCTTCCTAAATTGAGGCTGGATAAGGAAGAAAAAGAAATTCAAATCCACTGGTCTCCGCGGTGCATTTCCAATAGCCCCTTTGTCCCACTAGAAGACATCCTCCTCGCACCTGCATTAGTTGACTGCAATGATATACTCACCAGTTGTCAACTGAGCATTCGTTCCAGTGAATGGCTCGGTCCCAGCAGCGATGCCGCTCACATATTGGCTGGAGGGCAAGCCCTGGCTCTGAATCAAGTACTTGAAGAAGTCGAGAATGTCGGCATTGAATGAAGTCTGCTCGCTGTGAGCGACGAAGCTGAAGACAGTCGAAGCCCCATTCGGGCCTTTGAAGAGGTCCCATGGAGTTCCAGCAATTGTGACTGTAGCGACTGGTGAACCCGTGCTGCTTATTGGGCCAGCACCGCCAATAGCAGCAAGCCAGATCATGATCTCATATGCCGTAGAGCCCCCGGGAGAATAGCTGGTGAATATATCATAAGCAACATCGGCAACAATATTAGAACCAGTGTAACTGTAAACGCAGAGTGCCATCAGCCTGTATTCCTGCACGACGTGGGCTCGGACGCAAACATAGCAAGACTTGAACAGAGATGAATTCACTTACCTCCATTTCCAGATAGTCGGTATACTCGAAATGGAACTAAGTTGCCTTGCACCAAAAGTGTAACCCGCATTGGCGTAAGACTTTACGCTGCTTGGACCTCCTTGCCAGTTCCAGGACGTGTGCCACGATATCACACCTTCACCCTGGTAGTCCAAGCCGGTGCACTGCCACCCAGATGTAGCGCTCTGCTCACCCCAGAGGTTCTGGTAAATAGTATAGGCTCCGGCGGAGACCGAGTCCCACTGTCCGCAAAGGTCCCGTTTAGATAGTGCTGAACCACTGACTGCAGAACCCAAGACTCCAAGGAACACTGGAATAGGCAGAGAGAATCTCATTATGCTTGCACAGTCTAAGAGAGATAGTGGATGGTATGTTGGCAAAGAAATCAAAAGATGTGATGCTGGAGTATGATGGATTTGCTGGTGACCAATTTCCGCTGTGTCCAAACCAAGTCATCGAGCAGGCTCTCACCAGCATTATATCCCTGTCTATCCTATGGATAGTTTGACAAATTATGCTATACTACGGGAAACTACCGGTGGCTGAGAAATTTTACCAATAAGAAAACCAGGCTTGGACCCTCTCACAAACTGGCGTACATACATGGCCCCTTCGCACCCAGATCACGCGCGCCCTCCTTCCACACCCTGCAGTTCGAAGATGAGTGCATCATTCCTCAGAACAGCGATTCTTTACCTAAACCAGCTAGTGCGTTAATTTATTTAAGAAAAAAAGCGTCTCCAATTACGCTAAGGCCTACAACAACAAGCATGGAGAACTTAACTCCGAACAAAGGTAGGCCTTTCGGCAGACATGCCAGTCTATCAACAAATTGCAACTACAAGCTAGTTTCAAACTAATATACGAGTGCCACTCGGGCCATTCTCTACGCTGAGAAAAAAAGAACAGCTCGGAGAAAATACTTCGTTTGGCCGACAGAATGGAGCTTTGGGACTGAAGGCCGAGGCGCCACCTAATCAACCGCATACTGGCAAGTTCATACTCCTTCCCACTTGTAATTCGGGTGTCTCTATCTCAGACTCCTTCATCTTAACCCTCCACAAGAAGACCACCGGAGTGATTTGCCATGGTTTTGATTTGTTGGGCGCTTTATATAGTTACCCGGTGTCACCGATTGGGAAGGGTCTATTGAACGTGGCCAGATCTACGATGGTTATGATGCGAAGTAGATACATTAATTGCTGGCATACACCAGGAAATGGAGTCTAGAGGTTGCCGCACATGCCCCCTTTTCGAATATTGGGTTATTTCATGGTGAGATGTGCCTAAATTACATTCGAAAGGTGTTTCAGTTTCAGCCATTGCATAAAGCCCCGCCGCACTTGAAACCTTATTTTCGACAGCCCGAACACATGCAAAAGAGGAAAGGAGACAAGCAGCGATCTTCCCCTGAACTGGATCGAACCGGTGGGGAAGGACAACCAGAAGTGACCTTGCACACTCTCCATCCACCAGAGCAGAAACAGCCTGCGGGATTTACCTGTTTATGGTCTAGCTGCAATATTACGGACAAAAATGTACTACCAAGGTGAAGATTTCATGAAAACAGTTTGTACCCCCTTTACTCCGCTTACTAAATTCATATCATATGGACTCTGTGCTCTTGTTATGTTGTGCTTTGGTGCTTATCTGTGCCTAGGCCTGGGGCTAATAGCCTAAAAACAAAGTTTAACCACTAACCAACCCTTCCACCTAGTTTCCAGGGTCGCCTGTAGGGCGACCCCGCCACCTCAATGTAAGGAGCCACCTCAACGTTAGATTTTTTGATGAGACAACATTTAAAGCTTCATTATATCCCTAAACCATAAAAAATATGTATTTCCTATAGATAAAAGGAACTCTAGGATCTAATCTGTCTTCCTAGATAGTTGTGAATGCTTAATAATTATTCCGCGATTAATTGTATGATTAATTAATTCTATTATCACTGTGTGCTATATCTTCTATAGCCTTAATCTCTCCTTTATATCATCATGACCTTTCTTTAGCTTCTTTATCTGTAATAGGCCTGAGCTAGATACAGTGCCTCCTACCTATAGCTAATATTTTAAGGCCCTGGATTACTGTTTACAGGCCTTCTATGCTATAGCTAAGGCATAGATCTCCTTAGAAAGAGCAGTAATAAGATGAGCCTGCATAATAGCACCATTAACTAATAGCCTTATATTATGCATTTAATTGCAGCCTTCTAGGTGAGGGATTCAATTACTAACTATTTTAAATTAAGATACTGTCTTTAGTATGCTTCCCTAGGTCTAGGTAGTCTCATTGCTTCTCTCTGAAGGTGGTGTACACAGTTGATATTCTGGTAGGTTTATGATCATAATATCTAGATTCCATGGAACTATCCTAGTAAGCTAGAAGCTAGCTAAGATAGTAGATTTCTTAAATATTCAGTATCATATCTCTGAGAGAGTATATAAGAATTTAATCTTAGTAAACTTCCTACATCTAGATTAGGTGGCATCCGCGATAGCTTCACTATGCCAGTATTTAAAGACGTTAAACACAGCAACATTAAGAGGCTAAAGAATATAGCTTATATATAGAATTAAGAAGAATAGAATGATATGATTTTACTTATAGAATTTAATAAATTTATATATGAGATGGGAGCCATATCCATTATAGATAAGTAGTTAATAGATACCCTTCTTAGATTTCACTGTAGCAGCATGGAATTACTGAATCCACTGATATACTAGCTTATCATTAATATATCTAGTCTTAGAGATACTAATAAAGCTTCCTTTCTTAATATAATTGAACCATCCCTCCATGATCACCCTTCCTGTCATGATAATTAATAGAGAGATTGTTTACCTCTAGTAGAGATAGCCTCTACTAAGGTTACATACTTAGTATTAGTATTACTTAGTATAAATAGCTTCTTTATTAATTCCCTAGTAATAATCTATTAATCTTTTCTAATACTAATTCAGAAGCCTATCTTATTAAAATTCTATATGTCTTTAATGGTAATTCCCTTCTCTTAGATGACATGCCTTAGATAATCATACCATTCTTATATAACCTCAGGCTTATGAGCCTGCTAGTAATTTAGTTCTATAGCCCTTATCTTCCTTCTTCAGTATTCTGGATTGCGATCAAGCCATTATTTAAGCCATCTTATATCAACTTTCGGCGGAGGGGTCTTGGAATCAGTATAATCTGTGCGTAAGATCTCATTAACTGATTTAATGATCTGCTTCAGCCATGGAGGGATAATCATCTCATCTAATATATTAATATATGTCTTAAGACCAAGCTCCTGGGTATCTTAAGCTTCTAATTTAAAGGCATTTATTAGCTTCAAGATTAATATCCTTTCTCTGCATTTAGATCAGGACTATGATTGAATGTCATACTTTGGCTGGTCCCACAACTCACGTCCAAGGACAACCAGGCTTTTAGTAAACTGCATATTGGGACGAGGCCTTCGTCTAGTTATTGCGCGGCGTGCCCCAGTGCCAACCAAATATCTGGATCTCGAATGTCCATCTAGGGGTTTGGGTGGCCCAAAATCATCTTGTTCAGGACTGTCTGGCCCTTTAACACACTGTAGATGAGGGGTGTGCAGCTAAGATAATCCAGCTAGGATAGGTTAAGCCTGTCATGAGCAAGTAAGAGAGAAAAGGAAATGAGTGTTAGGGAATGGGTATAAATAGCCTCTTTGTTAGTTTTGGTTATCCATAAATGGATGGAGAAACTCTGTTCAGTGGGAGAACTTCAGAAAGGACATTACAGTTATGGATATCTAACCTGCTAATATACTGGGCTCAGACTGAATAAGCATGCTGCCTTTGCGAAGAAAGAGAGGGATAACTCAACTTCGTAGGGTCTTTGGGTCCTTGCTGAAGCGAATGTCTCGATAATGCGGAAGATGATATCTCTAAGCGGCAGTTCCGGGATTGTAGCGTCAAAGGCAATGATTTTCGGCGTCAATGTTTCGACAAATGACTCCCCGTTTTTCGTGGCTCATCTGAACTCCCTTCCACGGCCTACAGGCGTTAAAACTCCCCGTGCGCTTTGGTGTCGTGGCGTTCTTACTCTTGAACCAGGCGCAATTTGTTATTGGACCTGAGATCCTTCGGGTATAGGAGAGTGTTTTTGTGTATTCTAGTCTCAGAGTACTTAATTCTGTCAAGCGTACGTAATTTCTCCTGAGGGATAATGGATAATCTTCTCCTTCGACATCTTTGTCCGAGGTAGGAGAGTCGTGCCTCTCGCGTTCATATTCTGCGTCGGCCCGGTAATCGTCATCATTGTCGCTCTCGTCGAATCCGTCTTTGTCACTCCCATTGTCACCGACACCAGCTAAAGCACTGTCGTTTCTGTGGATCTTCACAGTGTGCTGCGCAACTGGCGACGCTGCGAGGCGCTTGCGACTAGGCATTGCAGGTCAATCTGAATGTCACTGCAGAATTACAGGTCAGTAGTACTTGGGCCAGGAAAAGTCCGTCTGGAGAGTCAGCAGCGGATGTTCCTTGTTAGCTACCAGGCTAGTCTACCTTGCATTCCGCATTATCAAGGCTGGGTACCACAGGAATATATCTACTAGGGGGTCCCACTTGCCTTTCCTGGGCAGATAGCGAGATTTCGAGGCTTAGATTGGCTAGGCTATACTACACCGAAAAGGATATAGTGGAGGTGGAATTTTCTCTAGCAAATCCAAAGCCCGGGAGTTCAAAGATGCCGTGACCTTTAATTGCGTTGACATGCTAGGGAAGTTCTACGTCCGATCCATATTCCTGCTTCTACCAACTAGGTCTTACGCGCTCACAGCTAGTATACAGATGTAGCCAACCACTCGCACCTGGAAATGGTGGAAATGACGCCCGATCATCCTAGCACGGTATAGACGGCCCGCTCGAACTCAGCCAGAAGATCAACAGCCCTTTGGTCGCCAGTGGGTAGAAGCTGGGACAAGTACACACCAGCAATGCCTTTCTTCATGTCGATCCACTATCCAGATGTCAGTGACAAGTCCATAGAATGGGATACAGAAAGTCGATGCTAACGCTTACCCAGTAGCAATTGGGGAGTCCGGACCAGGACAGCGAGTACTGGCTGCGGCCACCGGGCACGTCGATCATGTTAAGCAGACCGCTAAGCCCGTAGTCGACAGGGACATTGCTAGAAACGGCGTTATAAATTGCGTTACGATTTGCCAAAATGTGATCCTCTTGGTTATCCAAGCCCTTGCGGCTCTCGAGGTGTGGCTTGAACATCTGCTGCAGAGTCTCGGGTCGGAGCAGTCTTCCCTGCAACACCCCGAGGTAGATCTTGAGGAGATCAGGCACAGTTGTGTAGATCCCGCCACCTCCAATATCGTCTATGACAGGATCGGGCATCCAGAAGTCAGTGACCTCTCTGAGTCGGTGATGATCTCGTTCCCACAGCTTCACCTTTCGGGTGCGGAGGTCCTCTCTCTCATTCAGATGGAAAGTAATGTCCCTGGCACCAACAGGTTCAAACATGTTTTCCTCCATATATGCACCTAGTTTGAGGCCCGTCACATGCTCGACCTTATTGTTGTCCTATTAGCCAAGTTTCACAGTGGACTTTCCAACGTTCTCCGTAGGGCTGGCTCACCATCAACCCAGCCCACTCAAGTCCAGGACCATACAGCCATTGTTCTCCAGGCTCGAATACCAGAAATGTATGGAAGGACTCCCGCTGTTTTAGTTAGTTGAATGCGCGCCAAGTCTCGACGGTGAACGGACATACGATTGTCTGCAGGAACAGAGGTCGCTCGCCTTCCAGCTCTTGGTAGCGCATCGAAAGCGGATGCATAAAAGTATAGGCCATGCCAGATGAGTGGGTTAAGAGAAGCCTTGCAAAGACTTAGTGATGAGGGATGTGTACAACATAATTGATTTTAAGTGCAACGTACCGAAGAGTAAGAGGCCTTTTTGCTGGTCGGAATTGGGGTTCGTTCTTCTCACTGAATCCAGTCAAAATCTTGGGATCTTTCCACTCAGGCAGGATGGCAGAGATGTCTGCGTCCAATTCCAGTAGCCCCTTTTCGACGCATTGCATGACCGCGATGCTTGTGATGAATTTGGTTGCGGACGCAATCCAGTGCACATCATCAGCTCTGCAAGCTTCCCCTTGGTCACCACCGAAACACTTTGCGTAGTGTAGGGTTCCTGAGAATTGTTAGGGATATGGTGGTCAAATGTCTCTGTTCTTCTAGGTAATTACCATCTCGATCCACGGCACCAAGGGTGATGCGAGGTAGGGGTTGTCCATCCTTACAGAGGAAGGATTGGACAACTTCGTCAATGAACTCCATTGCTACGAGACAGCCGTATAAGTTGCAAATTGTTTGCACTGAGAGCATAGAGTTCGATTTTCAAGAGGGGCATCGTGCTTAAATCGTCGAATGCCTTACCAGTTTGTGACTTCAGTGCCCATTTGACTCTTAGAGTAATGATATTCAATCCTCTGCTGGCTTTCAATGGTGAAGCAAACTGGAGTGATGCTGTGCCTGTTCTTTCCAGTGATACCATTTTCTGCAATTCAATACATAAGCCAGAGCTCGCAAAACGGCTGAAAGAGGCAAAGACGTCAATTAGTCCGTGAGCTGCCTAGATCAGGAGTACGCAGCTTTTTTCCTTTTTCGAAAACTTTGCGAAGTAGCAGCTGCCGTCACCAGTATTATGAACATCGTTGAAAGCAAACACGCCGAATCAAGCCAGGTGGGGTTGAATGGACCCTCGCAATCTGTCCTAAAATGGAAAATATATGGTGGGGAGCTTTCACAGTGCACGAATACGATGCGGACAAAGATCAAGGTTCTATGGGTACCCACTAACCTACATCCACTTATATGGCGGATGCTATTGCCATATTTCCCGAGTCTCGATCGTCAATGTTTAACGTCATACCTTGATAAAACATATTTATCTTCCATCTACCTTTCGAAGAGGTGGCCAAACTAGGCTTTTTCCCTGACCGTGAACAAAAACAACCCTGATTGAAAATGATCGACCGCGAGAAACCGGTCCAGGACTGCTTGCGGCATCTCATGCCGAGCCTCTCAATATATACTGAAGGCAGGCACTATCAGGATTGTCTCGAGCTATATAATCATGCGCTGAGCAAGCAATCACTGGTCTGCGCCCGGCCGCGGACAGAACAAGAGGTCTCACATCTGGTTCAATTATGTACCGAAGAATCCATTCCCTTTGCTGTACGCTCAGGTGGTCATGACTTCTTCGGTCGCTCGCTGGTTCACAAGGGCATTCTCATCGACATGCGCGCAATGGACTCGGTCGGAGTCGAGCCGGACCAAGCCAGCGCGCGCGTTGGTGGCGGGGTGATTGCTGGCCCCCTGCAGGAAACACTCAATTCTCAAGGCTTATTCACCCCTACTGGACAGGCAAAATCCGTGGGTTATGTCTCGTGGGCCTGTGGTGGAGGGTATGGCTTCTATGTTGGGACGTACGGGTTTGGGGTCGATCAGATCCTCGGGGCTCGAGTGGTTCTGGCCGGGGGGCACGTTGTTGATACCGACGAAGATCCAGAATTACTGTGGGCACTCCGCGGGGCCGGGGCCGGCATATTTGGCATTGTCACGGAGCTTCGCGTGAAGGTGTACCCAGTGCCTAAACTATATGCTGGCTTCCTAGCCTTCCCCCTGGCCGAGGCCGCAACAGTCCTGGACAGGATTGAAAAGCTCTTAGAAGATGATTTCCCCGATGAATTTAGCGGAGATGCCATTGCCGTGAATCCTGAAATGGCACCGATGCCGGTAACCGAGCCGTGTTTTGTTTTGTTTTGGTGTTGGACTTCGATCAGCGGAGACATTGCGCCTGCGAAAGGTTTTCTTGAGCAGATGATGCAGGCCGGTAGGGTTCTGGGAAACACGGTCACGGAGAGTAAGTTCCAGGCTTCTATTATGCAATACATAATGTCCAGCTAATTTGATCTGGTATTTAGCTACACCAGCCGCCTACGGCTTGGGTGACTCATCTTCAGGAATCTTCTTTCGCAGTCGAAACGTTGACCGGATACATCAGAAGGTTGGTGCCATCCTCGCACTGCACCCTCCACCGCATCCGCTGTCTGCTGTCATCTTTCACAATAACCACGGCAAGGGGGTTCGACATGAAGTCTCAGATAATGTCGGGGCGGCCTTTCCGAATCGGCACCAACATGTCATTCTCGGGCTCCATGGTGGCACTAAACCAGGTCAGGTCGATGCACAGGAGCTTGCAGATGCAACCAGATGGGTTACAGAATTAGAGGAGGCGATTGATCAGACCGGTCTCTCGTTGCAAGGAGGGTTCCCTGCATTTTGGCCGCCAGATCAGGTGGATGTAGAAGGTTTCTTTGGGGGGCAGGGGGCCACAAGACTGCAGCGATTGAAGGCGCGGCTGGACCCGAATGATCTATTTCACCATGCGCTGCCCGGTCTCAAAGCAGGCTGAATAGAATTGAATATAGTACTCTTTTATTGTAGAAAATCCGCCATTGATACGGGTATAGTGGCTCTATCTTGTGGATGATTAGTTAATCTACACGTGATGTGGCAATCCCTTCGTTCCGCCTTCTCCAACAGCCAGTTTCAAATCTGGCCCAGTTTCTGGTCTGCATGCCACTATTGAATGCAAAGAACAGTAGAGAAAGTCAACAGTCAACCTGGCCAGACATGTCCTTCCGCGGCTTACGTTTCAAGCAAGTGATAGTTAGCTCGTCCTCACACGCAAGCACGCAGCAGGAGCACGAATCCCCAGTGGGCCCACGGCGGAACAAAAGCAAATTTGGCTGTCGAGAATGCAAGGCAAAGCGAGTCAAATGCGACGAGGCCTATCCGACATGCAAGCGGTGCAAGCGTCAAGGACTTGTCTGTTCATCAGCCCCAAGATTAACACAGTGGCAAGTTGAGACACCATGGCTCTCACTGCAACCTAACACGCTCGTTAATCGAAGACTACTACAATATTGGCTGGAGAAAGTCAGCCAAATATTGGTCATAGACCCTGAAAATAATCCATTTTCATTTCTTACTTTGGAATACATTGCCCAATCATCCGCTCTCCTCCATGCTATCCAGTCGGTCAGCGCCAGCCACGAGCAGTATTTCCCGGCCACCACCCCCATTATCGCCCTTGAGGAACGTGGCAAAGCCATAGCGTGCCTTCGAAGAGAGATGAGCCATAGCCAATACAGGCCTACCGCACACTTTCTGGCTATTATGTTACTGGCTCTGGTGCAAAGTGCTGATCTTGACAGGAAAGATTATGGCAAGCAGCATTTATTTGGTGCCCGCGCCTTGATCAACAGTATGCTCCAGGACACATCTATGTCGACGACTAATGACCCTGCGGTTCGGCTCTGCCTGGGAGTGTATCTTTACTGGGACATGTGTACTTCGTTCCTGGTAGACCCATGTGAGCCACAGGGGCTCAACTTATTTAACATGTCCAATGCAGTGCACAGGATGGGAGACTGGCATCATCCAATGTACGGAACATGTAGCGGACTACTCCTTATCATAGCAAATGTCGGACGGTACTGCCGACAGATCCTTGACGCGCCACAGAAGCGCAACCTCATGCATGAAGCCGTGTTGGAGGCCCAACTTACTACCTGGAAGCCAGTCCCCCCAAATCCCGGCCTGGGCCACCTATACGAAGCATTTCGCAACCACGGGCTGACTTTCCTTTATCGAGCCCGTGCGCATGCACAGAGTAGTTGTCTCGGGGATCCAGATTCGTCTGAAGCGCAAGAGCACTTGATTCAACAATACGCCGAAGAAACAGTCCGCCATCTGATGCAAATCCCTGCAACCTCATACTACCTTAATTTCCAATCTCTCCCTCTTCTCACAGCTGGGTCCGAATTGACGGAATCGAATCACTTTCTACGCGATCAAGTGCGTGACAGGCTTCGAGCCATCTACTCTTTGAATCGGCTTCCTGCAAATGTGCTGGCCCTTCAACTCCTTGAAGAACTCTGGGATGCTCGAGACAGTGGTCATCCATCATTCTGGCTACGACACACGCTACAGAAGGATTGGCGGTTACTTCTAGGATGAGGCTTTATTTTGCCAAAAATGCTACTAGTTCTTCGGATGTACAAGCTCTACTGTACGGTTTGGAACCGGATTATGAGTGCCGTGACATGGAACAGAGTATGGCTCATCATCGAGATCCCAACATCCCACGCCACCCTTTAACGCTACTGGACTAGCCGCATCGAAATTATAGCTCTCGACGAGGAAATCCTAGTGCTTCTCTATTCCGCATCATGCCCTAACTTTGCTCTGATATCTGCGCACAACATCAATTGCAGGGACGTGTCTGCGATATCTTAAGGACGGGAATCGCCCAGGCCATAAAAGATACCTCATGAAGCAATCCGGCCTGCAATAGCCCGCCATAATGCGCAGCGAATTCCGCAGCCCCCTTCCCTGTGACCATAGCGGATGCACCCCACTTCATTATGCCGCAGAAGCCGGTCTTATTAGAGTTAAATGCTGCTTAATGAGCAAGTTTAATATCAAGTTAAACACAATAGATAACTGGACGGCCATACCCCTTCACAGAGCAGCCAAATGCAGACACCTCTTATAGTTAATCAGTTACTATACATAGACGCAGTGCAAGTTAACCTAAAAGACAAGTTCATCCACATTTCGCTACTATATGCTGGCATCCTACTAAAGACACAGGGGAGTAGTCTGACAAGTATTACTAAGGGAAGTTAATATGAGTGTGACAGGTTTGAGCAGATCAACTCCTCTACGCCATACTACAGGAGACAGAGACCTTGTATTAACAGAACTACTCCTCAACTGCCCAGAGCTTGATCCTAGCAAAACTAATCGATGCGGCTGGATGGCCCTCTAGCTAGCAGCAGAGGCAGATGATGTGGTAATGATTGCAGCATTTTGCCATGACTTACAGTTACAGATAATAACAGTAGATGATCAGTGTGGACAGGGGCCCATACATATTGCGAGGTATTGCAAGCATCAAAGGCCACACTAATGCTGTCTAACTCCTTCAAGCCAACAGGCTATGGACTTCTTCTTCTATTATTTAACATACTTTTCAGGCAGCGAGGTCCCGCAATGAGGCAGGGAGCGAGGCGTCGGTTTTTCCCCCCTAATAAAAAAAAAAAAAAAAAAAGAAAGAAAGAAAGGCATGACGCTACTGATTAATTATCATGAATAGTTAACTATCTCAACACTCGATTATAAATCCAATGCCGCTTGCGGATGGACGTTGCAGGTGGGATGCCGCGGTGGGATATTCCGGCAGGTTTGGATTGGTCGTCCTCCCCCCTGATATTCACGCTATGTTTGCTCAACAACGAAGTTTAACCGATAGCTGAATAGTCTAATAAGCTCCAAGCCCCTCCCAGTGGGTCCCTACCACCCCTACTCGCGCCCTATAAACTCTAGAAGCAAAGGACCATAGTTGATCAGACGTAATGGCCGTTTGAAGAGAGATTCGATGACAAATCAGGTTCATTAACTACCCTTTGGCAACTTGGGCAAATAAGTACTGGTCTCAATCGTACAGTCCAGGGAGGTCTTCTTCCTTTGTACGGCGTACCGACCCACATCACTCCAAAAAGACTTCTATCTCGTCGTTATCGTCACCAAAAGGCACTCTTCCATCCAGCCCTACCTTGAACCAGCGTCAACAAAGTCCATTCTCCTGAAAACGATTGAGGAAATGAAAGCTGTCAGACTCACCACTGTCGGCGAGGAGACGCGCCTGGAGATGCGTGACGAACCCCTACCGAATCCAGGTCGCCATGAGGTGTTGGTTCGGGTACATGCTGCTTCGCTGAACTTTCGCGATCACGCAGTGCTAAACCATCCATACGGCGCGGCTATGAAGAAAGATGTCATTCCTTTGTCAGATGGCGCCGGTGAAGTCATCAGCACTGGGGACGGTGTTTCACGGATCAAAGTTGGCGATCGAGTCGTCGCCAACTGCTTCTTGCACTGGATCGGCGGCCCGTTTCTTCCGGAATACAACGCGGGCAGCGTCGGATTCAGCGTAGACGGTATGCTGGCCGAATATGTGGTGCTGCCCGAAACCGCACTCGTCCATCTGCCCGCCTCCATGTCCTACATTGAGGCTGCCTCGCTGCCTTGCGCGGCCGGTGCCGCCTGGTCGTCGCTCAACCTTGCTACACCCCTCCAGCCGGGCCAGACGGTGCTGGTTCAGGGCACCGGTGGCGTTGCACTGTTTGCGCTTCAGATTGCGCAAATGTTCGGAGCTCGGGTCTTGGCAATCACGTCGTCCGACGAGAAGGCCGCAAAGCTCAAGGAGTTAGGCGCGGAGTCTGTCGTGAACTACAATACTTGCCCTGACTGGGATCGCGAGATCCTCGCTCTTACCGACGGCCAGGGTGTCGACAAGGTGATAGATATCGCGGGGGAAAAGACTATTGTCAAGTCTGCAGCATCGGCCAGAATCCGTGGCGAGATAGCCTTGGTCGGATCAGCAAGCGGCTTTGGCGGCGGCCTGTCGCCGGTCGACATCCTTTACCGGTCTCTCATCATCGGCTCCTCCACCATTGGCCCCCGGACGAATCTCGAGACCCTGCTCAAGGCGATGACGATGCATGGAGTACGACCGGTGATCGATCGGGTCTATCCCTTTGCTGAGTATCGGGAGGCGTACCAGCGGATTCAGAGTGGAGGACACATCGGCAAGGTTGTCATCGACGTTGCGCACTAGGCGGTCGACTGCGGATCAGACGGTATGCTCCGGGGAGAGCATTTTCCGCGTTTTCAGTTGTATGAAGGGAAAGGTCTACATAAGAAACTCCCTCATTTGTGCGGCCCCCCTAGTTAGCAAATCTACGAGTTGGCGTAATGTAATGGTTTGCACAACCCTATTTGAAGTGAAGGAAGATACAACAGATGGTATGAGAAGAATGGTACAGAGTGTTATGATGGCCATTGCCCCATCCTTGATCTGTCCATTGTGTGTTTCTGCAGGGAGACTCTATCAGTCTAGTTCACAGTTTGAATAAACAGTTTAAATAGGTTCAATAGGAGACATACAAGCCCATACATCAGTGTTGCTTAATAAGGTAAGAACATCTGGCTCCTACCCTGCACGTGTGGCTCGGGCGTGTTGGTCCAGCATGATGTCCACAACTTCTTGGACAAGCGCGCTAACTTGAGAAATCATAAAGTAAACACCGCTTATACGGTCAAGCTCGATCAGACCTGCGTGAATTTGCAGTAGCCAGTGACGAGTCCTGGAAGGGTCATTAAGTCAGCTCATCTAGATCTAACATCCGGGTGTCTCCCCACTGTACATAGCTTATACATTCACCGCACGGGGAGAAACGTACAAAGTGTAATTATCCGAGGACCGCCTAATTCTCACTGTTGAAACCTCATCAGGGGTTGAAGTCGTAAAGGATAGGGAGGAGGATTGGGGAAAAGTTACCAATTAGTGGAGTGGCTGCCAAGCCCAGACGACTACTAATAGCGTCATGCCGCTCAACATATAAAAAGACGCATTCCACCCGCCGCCTCTCTCTCTCCTTGGTTTTTTTTTTACGTTTCTTTTTTTTACAGATCAAGTCGCCGTTATGGGCGCTAGCTGGTCGTCAGACCGCAATGAGGAGCCCTCATCCTCAGCTGCTGATCTAGAACAGCCCCCCGATCCACCCAGCCAGTCCAAATATCCTCGCTGTTGCGGGGATGCGGTCCCTTCGGTCTGTAGCGACCGCCCAGAGGACTTTTACGACGAGCTGTATGAACAGATGTACTTTGTGCAGCATATTAACCAAGACTGCATTGTGGCCTTTCAACAATGCGAGAAAGAAAATCCCCGTGTCGACCCCGAGGAGTGGTTTATCATTGCTGAGCGAATCCCCCGGGTATATGAATATCTGGCACATAGCACCAATACCCCGAATGTGGATGTAGACCAACCGATTGATCTTCACCCCCGCATCGTCAAGTGAGTAAACCCTCCTTTCCTGCTCGTCCCTTGCAATCACCGCTAGAACACCGCAATTCTGTGTGGTGGGAGTAGATATCTTGGCCGTCTCCCTGTGGGATATCTGCTGGAGAAGCTGGATCCCGGCCCACTGGGCGCTACGACTCTGCCACTTCTGACCACCTTTCCTGAGTCGCGCACGTCTTCCGATGACAAGGACTTCCCCGGTAATGGAGACAGAGAGCCCCTCCTCCTGCTCTACTACCGCTGGGCACTGCAATCGCTCGCCATGCTAGCCTTCCTGCATGAACACGGGGTCTACCTGATGGATTTCAGCTCGAGCACGATATGGATACGTGATGATCTCTCGATTGCACTATCAGGATTTGTGAACGCAACCATCCCGACAGATGAATGGCCCTACTCTCCCGACGGGACGAGATACGAAACAGAGATCTACTACCCAACCAATCCTGACAGTGGGCACCCCGAGCTCAGTCCGAAGATCGATCTCTCAGATTGGGCGACCTTTGTCTGGCAATTGATGCGAAAGGATGTGTCCAGTCATGGAGCGAAGAGGTGGGTGATGCCTACCGATCCATTGGATCCGACGGAGATGCCCGGGGAGATGAATGCATGGGAGTACCATAAGCAACGGCTGAAGGAGGGCAAGCTACAGCTTTTAGAAGATGAACGATTGGGTCCGATGCTGGTTATGGCCTGGAAGGGGGAATATGGAAATGCTCGGGAGATCCTGCAAGAGGTACGATCGTATCTCCAGCAGATTGGGGTTCGGATGGATGGAGAGGATGAGGTCCTTCTGGATGATGGGCGAAAGTGGGAGGATGTATTCACGGTAGTCCAGACAGATGGCGCCCGCTGGGGTCGGGAGATTAGATATAAATGATATCTATGGGTCCATCGCTCGAATACCAGCTGAACATTCTAACATTCATTCAAAGTTTATCATGGACCACTATCACCCTCTGAGACAGCCCTGGTAACAAAACTATCCGTAAGACCACGGCGCTCGAGTTCCCATCAACTCCTAGCAGGTGAAAACTGGTGGCTGCGGTGCGGTGCGCAACCGTGTTCCACAGATGCTTACTTCAAAAGCACTGTGATCGACCGGCCATCCACCTCTGACGGTCGTCCACTCTTAGCGGCAGTCCAATCTTGACTCAGTGCTCTGCTGGCCCCCCACAGCTTTCACATAGTTAGGTTGGTTGACGCTAGTCTAGACGTGTTGGCCCGTGAACACTAAGACTTTGGGTGGTGGGGATGAGCGTAAACTGGTCTACCCAATGCTTCTACTCAGAGTACGAGTTTTGAAAATCAAACCTGCGACCCGGGATCCGGTATTGACTGATACCCTTCCCTGGGGTTCCTACGGTACTTTTAAGCAGCTGCATTGCTGGCAACTCTCATGGTGGGTGGCCAAAATCAGTTCCTGCTTCCAGGATTCATTACATTTTCTGGCTAAGTTGCATTGAAGTACAGGAGATATAGTAGTCCTTAGGTTATATAGGGCTACAATCGTTCAATTTCTTGTACGTAGGCTACTCTCGCCATGCGTACCCGACCTTGAAATTCTGAATCCGACTGCACTCTTAACCTTCTATCTGTGGGGTACCAAGCTGATTATGATAGTGTCGAGGTAGGGAAGAACAGCCCAGCAACAGTGTCACTGACGTCGTTTCACTGCATACAATCGCCACTTAGTAGACATGATAACGTAGCCCCGGAAAGAGGGCGTACATGCCGTTGGTCGTTGGTCTGCCTTCTTTCAAGATCGATCATGCAATTCAACTTGGGAACTGGGGGAACTCATTTCCGCAGCCCGCTCCTTTTGTGACCCAACCAAAATCATCGACGGATGGCAAACATTCATGGCCACCATAGCCAGAAACATCAAGGTCGAATCGAAAACGTACATGAAGGCTTCATGGCTAATGAGATACCCATCATTGCCCTGCGCGTATTCGATCAAGCGGAAAATCGACCGTACAAGGATCAGAATGCTGGAGGCATACAACCCAACAAGGACGGTTTCCCACGTCCAAGAAGTTCTCTGAGACAAGCGACCCGCCAGTATTGTGACCTCATGCGTGGGATACTTGCGAATGCGGTAATGAAATAGCGCACAGGTGGTGATGAAGAAGCCGAAGAAAACTAGCTGGACACAGAGACCCGCAACTGTGATGTGTTCTCCCAGGTTGTAACTGCTGACAGTACCACTGGCCATAATGCCACCACCTGGAGGACAGAGATCTGTAAATACCCTAACATATAATAAACATCAACGCGCCATACATACCTGCTGCTTGCATGACAAAGGCAATCACATCCCCAGTGACGAAAATCATGGTCATCCACCTTACCGACACAATGCTCAGTTTCTCAGCGCGCAGAAAGGCTACCAACCTTCCCAGCACCATGTAGATTGACGCGGCGTAAAGCGGCGGAGCAAGGAGGATCAGGATAGTCTGCACGCTATATATCGGGACTGATTCTTTGTGGCTATGAGTCAAGACACGACACACGTAGCCGATGATCTGGACTGGTACGTTGATTAGGTCCATTTTCCGGCTATGAACTCTTCTAGACAGGTTTCGAAAGCTCCACTTACAGATGCCCCCGACCACAAACGCGATGAAATACCATGCTCGGGCGCGATTGAGCTGATAGATATGACATATAGTCGTGAGAAAGAACAGAGCCACAAACAGTGCAGCTGCAGCCGTTGATGGAGTGTATCTATAGAGCTTGAAGTCGATCTTATCATCACTGGCCATGATTGGTTTTTGCAGACTGAGGTGCAGTAGGAAAGATCTGGTTCTCTCCCTTCGCACAAATGACCTTGGTGTAAATGAATATTGAGAATAAACGCACGGTAGAATGAATCGTTTGTAGCTATGCTGTAGCGGAATTAGGACGACAGATGGGACTGAAGAGAAAGGAGGACAAATGTACCCTTCCACCAGGGGTAGTATATGTTGTGGGTAATCCAGCCATTTATCTTACTCCGAACAATTACTACTTACGATTACGATTACGACAACGAGACCTGCAGTCCACAGAGACCACATTTAGGCCACATGAATGGAGTATTGAGTGGAGCAATAGGCTTATCGGCTCGGGATAAGTCGAGAAAACTGGCTCCTACTGGAGTCAGTCTTGCCTTCGGTCCTATGATTGACTTTTCTCCTTGTCGATGTACCTATTTTAAAATGACCGGGGGTGTTGCCCAAACGACAGGCTTACGACGCACCAGTTCTACCTACTGTCACTCAGCCACACGTGGTTAGTCCTAGAGCCTTCATAGCTCGCTAGACTGGAATTGGATTGACTGTTCCTGGGACTCAGGAGGATCTCGCATCATAACAACCGGGACATTGGTTTGGTCCTTCCCTGTATAAAAAGATTTTATCCTAGATCATTTCATCTCAAATCTACCACCTCTCCACCGTTCAGTGCGTGCTCCCCTCAATTCATCTAGACCTTCCCCATTCTTTCTCTTGCTCTTTCCTCTCCTCCAAGGTTCATCGCATAAAACTGTTATGGCTACAGAACCCCCTAGTTTCAAGCTCTACAGATATGATCCGTCAGTTGGCGCAGCTGTTGCTTTTATCCTTCTGTTCATAGTCTCTTCCTGCATCCATACGTACCAGCTCGCGCGAACCAGGACATGGTTTTTTGTTCCATTCGTCCTTGGCGGATACTGTAAGTTCCCAATGGCCTGAAGCAAGCTTCTGCAGAAGCTCACCTAAGTCGTACGATCAGTTGAGTGGGTTGGTTACATAGGGGTAAGCTCATTTGGATATCTCCTTTTGAAGACAAGGCGAGCAGAAGCATCATTCTAATTACTGACCTCTTCCTCAGCGAGCTGTGTCGGGAACGCAAAGTCCGAATTGGACGGTCAAACCATATATTCAGCAAACCCTCCTGCTACTGATTGCGCCCACCTTATTTGCAGCAAGCATCTACATGGAACTGGGCCGCATAGTGGTGCTCACCGATGGGGAAAATTATTGTTGGATCAAGCGACGGTGGTTGACTAAAATTTTCCTTCTGGGCGACATTATCTCATTCTTGATGCAAGGCGCTGGTAAGGCAAACTATCCTTAATTTTGATCAAGAGACGTAACCTTGTTTTAGGGGGCGGTATCATGGCGAGTGGTAGTGCTAGCGCACTCTCCACTGGTGAGCACATAGTCATCGCAGGCTTGATTATACAATTGATTTTCTTCTCTCTGTTCGCCCTCACTAGCGTCAGGTTTCATGTTGCGATGAGGAGCGGGCCGTCGCAAAAAGTCGTTCATTCGCAGCCGCCATGGGAAAAGCACATCTATGCACTGTACGCCGGCAGCTTTCTCATCTTTATTCGTTCCCTATTTCGTCTTATTGAATACGCCCAAGGGAATGACGGCTATCTGGTGTCCCATGAAGGTTACATGTATGTTTTTGACGGCTTTTTGATGCTTCTGACTATGACTGTTTTTGCGTGGATACACCCGAGTGAAGTCAATGCGCTCCTAAACCCAGGGAAAAAAGGCATAAGTTGTGTCTTCTCTGTCTACTCCGTGGGTAGTAGATTACAGGGTTGAATGGAGGAACAGACTTGCCGTCCACTACCATCACCGTCCGTCCCAGAGTGAAATGCTGGTGCCCCATCGACTTATATCTCCTGATGTTCTGCCAAAGGCAAAAATTAGAACTGCTGATTGTGTGTTCGAACTATGAGACATACTAGAGTCTTAAACAAATAGCAGCAATTTACAAACTCGATCCTATCGATGTTGTTGTAATAAGCAGACTAATTTCATCTAAAACTAAGGGCAATTCCCTCCCCTTTTCACCCCATAACGCAGCATATCGCTCAGTGCATTGATCTTCGGAAGACCGAATGTGGGCCTTCAAGAAGTATATTTTAGCAGTGACCAATGCATAGTCTATACAAGGCGGCGTCAGCCGCCGCAACATTCAAACCATCTCGTGTGCAAACTTCTGACTCAGAGCCCACTGATATTGCAGTGGTGAGTAAGTTCGCTCTCCCGCCTGTGCTATATCCTTTGCCAACCACCCCAGGGCACTCTAGATCGACAGCACAAAAATAAACAAGGATGAGATAGCGTACTTGTGGATATCATGGTGTCCTTACAGATCATCCCACACAGAGGCATCTCTTGACGAGCCGATCCTCATTTCTCCCAGGCTCACGACAAGGCCACAGTGATAAGTGCATTCCGAACTCCAGTGCACCGCGGAAGGCCAACTCATCTGTCAGCGGCCTATATCCGGCCATAAACGAGGAAATCATAGCGGAGGCTGCAGTGACGGAATGAAAGTGCTTGAGGACATATAGTCCAGCGAACATTTGGCCAAGGCCAACAGCTACCAAACTGAGCTGTGAAAGTTCCCAGTCAATGACCCGGAGGTCCACCGGGCAGAATTCAGCTGAGACCGGTCCGTTTGAAAGTAAAATTCTTTGCGAAACTTAGCTGGTGAATGATGAAGCTTGTGTATCATGGAAGGCGCACTCACTTTTCAGCAGCCAAATTCACCATGTGTCAGTTGGTCTTCACTGGCTACCGCCTCTAGCTTCAGCCGCTTCTCTAACCGCTTAAAAATATCGATGCTGCCTTCGAATATAGCTGGATGCATAGTAATACTTTCCTATGCTATGTTTTATTTCAGCCATATTATGATTACCCCTTATCTTCCCGTGCAGCGAAAGCTGATCCAATGTAGCACTCCACTCGTGGAACCTTCTCATCCACCGTCCCAGCGATGCTCCGATTCTGAAGACGTCAGCCTCATCGGGCTCGTGGGCGCTGAGATAGGTCTGAAGCTGTGATGATTCAGAAGGTCAGAGAGGATCGCAGTGTGGGACTCAGCATGATATTCATAGAGAATCCGAGAGGCTGTGGTGACGTTTATGAACTTGGTCGCAGGAAGGCCTTTCATAGCCCTCAGCATGAGAGCTTCATAGTACTGGAATCGTAAGCAAGCATATGGATTTGCGTGAGGAGTACATACAATGCGTGTCACTGGTGACTTCCAGTGAATTGGAGGCAACATATGGCTCGGCATGTTTCACGATGACCTGGGCAGTTGGCGGAGTGGAGAGCGCTGATACAAGAATTCCACGGTAAACAAAATTTACATAGCCCCCGGAGAAAGGTATACGTTCAGTTCGGTGCATGCGTAGGGAGTGGACTCCAGAGAAGAGAGTATCTTAAAGGAGATTGCAGTGAAGAGAATTCTCATGACTTCAGCTTAGAAGCAAACAGTACCATAAGGATCCAGTCTGAGATGAGTCTGACTGCCGATTTTAATAGCTGGCCTAGCCGGTTGTTTGCTATAGGTTTCACCTCATCTCATCCAAACCATAACAAGCCCCAAATCAATGAAAATGAAAAATGGCATTAGGCCGTTAGGCGCACAACCCTCTTCCAAGAAATGTATACTATTCACTTCACAGCTGGAGGCCAATTACATATTATCATGTGGGCCCTGAAGTGGAGTGTGATTCAAGTTTCTAGGCAAAACCCTAGCAAGCTGGGCCGCTCACTTGCTGATAGTATTAATAAGCAAGCTTAAGTTCTGGCACTGCATAATATGACCAGTTACACAGAGTGGACTATGTCCACCTGTCCGTACCCGTTTCCGTGTTCGTAATCCTTTGGCCACTCCCCTCTTCCCCCATACCACTCATTCACTCTTGCCTCCCAAAGCCAAACAGCCCCGAGAAGCGTATCAGCTACTTCAGACCTTTCAACACATTCGGTCTAATATTATTTTCTGATTCCCCAATCTGTACAATAAATCATCTCTACAATTCCAGGTATGCCGACGCGAAGATCCCACAAGAAGTCCCGCAACGGTTGTGAGCAGTGTAAGAAAAGAAGGGTCAAGGTTGGGAAACCCTGCGCTTCCAGTTTCTGGTTCGCTTCGAGCCATCCCTAGAATCTGGGCTTGCGTGTATACTAATGCACCTATCAATCCAATTGTAGTGTAATGAACAGGACCCGTGCTCAAATTGTTCGGCGCGGGGTATGCATTGCAGCTATGAACGACGCTCTAGTCCGCTTTCTCGTGGATATGGATCAGATATCAGCATGTCCAACTCAGCTTCTGAAGTACGGGATGATCGTACCTGCCCAAACTCCGGCCCGTCATCCCTTCGTGAAGATGTCTATGGCTCTTTCTATCAGAAGATGACCAAGCTTGCCCTATCTTCAGAATGGACCGGCCGTGACCCCGAGTTGATGCACCATTATTCACTTTACACCTCCAGGTCTATTGCGCGGAGACTGGAGATGCAAGAAGTATGGCAGGTTGATATCCCTACGATCGCATACTCATACGAGTTCTTGATGCATGGAATCCTCGCCCTATCATCACTTCATATTGCCTATAGCTGTCCTGAAAAGTACAGCAGCTATCTCAAAAGCTCCAGATATCACATTACTCTCGCCTTACCCTCCTTCCGAAAGGCTCTTCTCTCGCCAACAGCTGAGAACTGTTGCGCTCTGTTTGCCTCTTCTAGTATAATCATGGTGTACACCTTCGCATCCCCTGCAGAACCAGACAGTCCTGGTATATCGGCGACACTAAACTCCGTCATAGAACTCTTTAAACTATGTCGAGGTATTATGGCACTGGAAAGCTTCATGGTTACGATCCAAAATAGCCCTCTTCGACCGCTCTTTCGGCAAGAATTTGCCGTCCCAATCTCTGTTGCGAAGTAAGTTTCTTGGTTAGGGTGTCCGTGCCTTGTCAGAACCCGTCTTCTCTGGCGTGGAACTGGGAGACTCCGCGTTCTATAATCCAGTCAAGTGAGATCCGGTGTGCTTTAGCTGATGGAACAATAGGGAGGAACCAAACAACCTATTCAGTGACATAGGGATCCAACTCCAACAACTTACGTACTTCGTTGAAGCGGAGGTCCCAGACCTCGAGCAGAGAACTGCATGCAGCCACGCATTGCACCAACTCGAATTCTCATTTAAATGTATCGAGAACGCTGAATTGCCCTTGGAGTGTGGAATGATCTACATATGGCCACTCTCCGTTAGAGAAGACTTTATATTTCTCTTAAAAGAAATGAATGTGGCAGCTCTTGTACTGATGGCCTACTACAGTGCCCAGCTGTGTGCGTTCAGAGACTATTGGTTTGTCGGGCAACGGGCACAAATGCTCTTTTCCGAAATCGCAGCTGCATTACCTGGACGGCTATCAACATGGCTGGACTGGCCGAAGAATGTCATATATCATGATCTTGGAATGTAGTCAACTCGTTGATGTCTTAGTAACAAGCAATAACGTTGCTTAATAATTTAACTGTTAGTAACTAGCAGTCAGCATCTCCTATTAATAATTAGATTCAATAGTTATCAGTCATGCAGCTATCATATTTATGCATCTGAACCACCTATAACCAACAGATTCCATGCGGCAAGACACCATACAGAGTCATAATATATTATATGAGGCAGATTTTAATTATTACTGCTCCTATCATGCTAGTTCATACCAGAAGCCAGATAGCCGCATTTATCATGCCAGACAAGAATTTACCCAATACTATATCGGCAGCCAGCAGCACCTGCAATACCAACGTCAGTGCATTGACTGCCCTTGATATAAGTCGATTAACAACCTCATTAGCCTCTGCACCCAGTAGCTTAGAGAAGCAAATGCGCTTTCTGTTCCAGCCGCTACAGGTGCCTAGCGAAGAATTTTGATTCGATATCTATAGGGTTGAATGAGTGGTGGTTGAATAATCATCTAAAGATGTGGTGATTGTCAGAGGTTGATGTATATATAACAGTATATGAACCACTATCACTTTCATACCAACCCATGACAGAAATGATTATTCCCTTATATCTCAGCAACGACTAGATATTTTGAATTGATATTTTATATTTAGATAGACTAGATACTAGGCTATCTAGAAGTATTAATATTTCTAGAGAAATCCTTGAAATTGGCAATTACTAAGTAAAATGGTGTAGGTTAGTTAAACCAAACTGATAAAACTATAAAAACTATAACTAATGGTTTTAACTGGATCTAAATTAGTTCCAACCTACCCAAACTGAAACTGAAGTGACTTCCTAGGCTAAGCACCGAACCCGCACCACTGCGAGTTCGGTGAGGGTCAGATTCGATCTTAGCGGTTCGGTTATGCAACTCTAAACATGGCAGAGTTTAAGATCTATGGCCTGACTGAAGTATAAGTCACGGCCACACAAGCGCGCCAAAGATTTGCTTGTCAATTGACGATTTGTGTCTGTTACTCACTGTATTGAAGCTCATGGTCCTGAGAATATGTGCGTCGGAAGCTATTGATTTATGAATATATGTCCATCGCATTAGCATCTAGCATCTTTTGTCAAGGTATCTTCTCTGACTCATTCTGCAGAGGATGTATCTCATGTAAACATGTGGAAATGACTGCCGAGGTTCTCTGTGACCCCACCAAGTAACTAACTATTGCAATAAATGAATAATCCTCCCCCAATGCAAATCCATGCGTCAATTTATTTTTTTCCTGTCTGTGGTGTTTCCATCCCTCAGATACAGATTTGATTTCATCCAAAAATGGCATTAAATATTTCAATGCCACCTTTTCCTGGCCCACAACTGCTGCTTGGCTCGCTACCTTTACTGGTGCTCTCAGAGTCAAGATCTCGGTCCCATGCTGGAACAATCCTTTTTAAAATGCTCTCCTCAGTAACCTTTCTTATTGGCCCACTTCTCACGAACACTACTGAATGGTCCCCATATCGCCTTTCGATTACAATCGGCCTTGTCTTCTCCCTTGCGGGAGACTTCTGCCTGCTCCCTTCCCGAAGCGAGTTTTACAATTCGCCCTCTTCAGAGCAGAGAAAACCAATTTCGACCTTCTTCCAGCTGGGGGTAGTCGCCTTCGCATTAGCCCATATCGCCTACATTGCTGCCTTCCTCCGAGACACCAAAGTCGTTTCATTAGGCACTCTTACAACCACATTCATGGCGACCATGCTCGTTGCGAGGTGGCTCGGTGTGATCTACCCACCTGAACAGTCCTCAGCTCGTAGCAACTTGCTCAATCTCACCATTGCTCCCGATATGAAGCCTCTGGTATTGGTATATGCCGTGATCATCAGCTCGATGTTCGCTGTTGCTCTGGCTACAAATCCAGTGACTCCAACCACAACCTGGCTGTCCCAACGCGGGTTAGGGGCTGGCATGTTTGTGGTTAGTGACGTCTTTGTTGCGAAAGATGCCTTTGGAAGATCGTCTGGTCCTGGGAAGCCGGGTTGGCTTAGGATTGCAGTGGGATATGGTCTGTACTTCTGGGGGCAGATGGTCATAGCAGGGACAGTAGAGACGACATAACTTCCAGCTTTCTTTCGAGCTACTTCGTTATCAATCAAGTAGCGGGTGACCAAAATGGCTTTATCGGAGGCATCCCAAGCAAATTGCTTCTATATGTTACTGTACAACTGAAGCCATCTTAGTTGGACTGGGTCGTCCCTTCATCTTCAGTCAATGCTACATGATTTTGCCCTGCAAAGCGGAATGTTCTTCGGATACCATACAAGATCACCAACCCGGATTTCCTCTCCTCTTCGTTGACGACCAGTGATAAACCTTTCAATTTTGTTCGTGTTCAAAAATTTCTCTTTGTAATCGCGGCTTCGCATGCTTGCGCTTGTGAAAGGCCAAGTGACAGTTTCTTATTTTGAAAAAAATCGTTGTAGGGCTAATATTATCGCCGCTGCATGCTGCTGTCATGGTCTAGATGTTTAGCCAGCTTCCTCGAAGATTTTTTTCACAGCAACAGACTTGTCCAGAGTAGTGCCAAACTTCCGTGAAAATTGACATTGTATCAATAGATATACCCAGGTAATGAGTCATTAATCAGGCCTCATTTCTGACAGAGCGTAATACATTACTTGCCAACTCTAGATAGTCTACTATGATTTGAGTATCTCAGCTGGCCCTTTCTTGGAATTAGTAGATATAGAAGCTTGTAAGGTAGGTAAGTAGCACTAAGTTCTCTCTTTAATCTAAAACTCTCTAGTAGTATACTAGCTTATACTTCACTAATGATATCTATACATGGCTATCCACAGAGAGAGAGATGCTACGAGGCTATCTATCCAATGCAGAACCTCTGAGATATTACATTCCTAACCAGCGGACTAGTGGCCAGGCTGTGGACTTGAGGCCATTTCCTCAACCGCTTCTGGAAAGCAGAGAGCAGTGGCCAAAGGTTCGGGTGTGTTTGCTTCGTCAACGAGGCTAGTTTCTCAAAACCCAAGCCATATGGCGTGTACACACCTCCCGAACTGAGGCTGGTTATCTAATGAGTAATAGATTAAATCAGTGTCCTCTCTTTTTTCCAAAGCAGCAGCCGAAGAGCACAACCAATAAATGGCCATAGCCAGTCTGTAATAGCCATCTACGCGGATGGCAGTGGATCAGTGCCAGAGGGAGAGCGCCAGCAGCCTGCCCACTATGCCTTGAGATGTGTGGTCAATGCTTGTGGGGTAACAGTCCAGGTCCACAGTTTACATCACCAAAATGCGGGGATCACTTCGCGTACTTCGGCTTTCTTGAGTGCCCATGATTTGCTAATTACATTATATTCTCCCGACATAAGTGATCGAAAGTAGTATGTGCTTCCTCCCGTGACTTCGATGAGCGCAATGTGACACGGACTCCCTAGAAATTACCCTCGTGCAAAGTGCTCTCAAATCACTTTTTCGCTAGAATTGGTTGTTTGGGTCGGTGGGGGAAGAGGGGTCGTGCGTCGAGGATATAGCACTCACTTCAAACAGAAAGGATTTGCAAGCTAATGCTTCGGCTACCGACAGTTTGATTCATTTTGATTTCTTCCCTCCTTCTCCACAAGAGGACTCCTCGGACGTGGCATGCAGGAGCCTTGCAAGTTTACACACGCACGTGGTCCCAACCTCGAATGATCGATATATGTTATCGCATCGGGTATATCATTCACCAACACAAAAACACCACCTACGTAGTTAACTTATCGTCTGCATGTCATACTTTGTAAAATGCGATTACTTGCACGCGACCACTTATTAGGGCGCCTCTTACCAGTAATTGGCTTACCGTACATCTGGACTCACCACACACACTCCCGCATCGTTTACCTGCCATTCTTTCTGATATGTCCATAATACGCACAATCGGTCGGAAACGGCCGAACACCGAGCTCAAAACACTCGCGACAATGAGGTCCCTCCATGAACTCAGATTGCCAGACGCTGCTGCAGCGGCGAAGACCGCCTTCGAATCCAGCAGGTGCACCTTCACACTCCACGGTGACTTGCTAGGCGTGTCCCTTCTGGTACCGCTCATCCTGACCGTTCATTTCCGCAGCATCGCTCAGGATATATCATCTGCGCTGTCCTTGGGGATGGTGGACTGATCCAAACAGTGAGCATTGATCTGCATCTGTTTTTGCTATGTTCCTGAAAGGTTTCAGGTTTTCCGTGGGGTTGCCTGCATTGTGGTGGTGCCTTGCGTTGCTTTATACTTGCGGCACCGGGGCAAAGGCCACCACATACCCATACACCGTCTATCGCGGTACATTTATTCATCTCCCCCGGCTTAATTCAAGTTCGGCGAAGCCGGAACTGGCCCGAAATCAAGGTGCCCTCTGGGTCTCTTCTGAAGATGGCCGTATCAAGGGCTATGATTGGCAAGTTCGCGACGATATCAGCTTCCA